TAGTCAGCATCTCCCAGCCCTGCACCGTCTGAGTAAATATCAACTCATATGCTAATCTGTGTGCTACTGGCGTTGTTTAAAGTATGTTTTTGTATGTTTCATTGTTTTTCTGAGGTTCGCCCCTCCCAAAGGCTTCAAATAATAACAAAGGATTTGTAATATAGAAAATGGCACTTGTTTGATGATGATGATGATGATGATGGAGAGATGCGAGGTGTAATGTTGAAGGGTCCAGTTTAATTTCTTACCCTATAGCGGTAAGGCGACAAGACGTAATTCCAGGAGATTTTTTCACTCCATAAAGAAACTATTACGCAAGAAAAAAAAATAACAAAAAGGTCTGTTCAAAAGCAGGCTACCTGTGACAAAACCGTGTACTTTATGTAAACTAGTGGCTTTTTGATGAGTGATGTCACCTTTGTCTTCAGTGCTCACACAACACTGTCTCTTGCTTATAGAAATAGAACATAGACTTGAATGGGGATGAAGTTGAAAATGGGGAAATCCCATTCTAGTATTTCTATTTCTATGGTCTCACCATTTGGAATGGCTCCACGTACAACAGCATTACCCGTCCCACTGTACAACCAACCACTCAATCTCTTATTTAGAGAACGATTTCGCTCTCTCTCTCTCTCTCTCTCTCTCACACTCTCACTTATGCCATAGAGACTGTTTGAAAAGCCATGTCGTCTCAATGTTCACTTTCAAGTACTGTATATATATATATATACTCTATCTCCAATACACTGGATCCTACTGAAATACACTGACAACTACAATACACTGGATCCTACTGAAATACACTGACAACTCCAATACACTGGATCCTACTGAAATACACTGACAACTCCAATACACTGGATCCTACTGAAATACACTGACAACTCCAATACACTGGATCCTACTGAAATACACTGACAACTCCAATACACTGGATCCTACTGAAATACACTGACAACTCCAATACACTGGATCCTACTGAAATACACTGACAACCCCAATACACTGGATCCTACTGAAATACACTGACAACTCCAATACACTGGATCCTACTGAAATACACTGACAACTCCAATACACTGGATCCTACTGAAATACACTGACAACTCCAATACACTGGATCCTACTGAAATACACTGATAACTCCAATACACTGGATCCTACTGAAATACACTGACAACTCCAATACACTGACAACTCCAATACACTGGATCCTACTGAAATAGTGTGACAACTCCAATACACTGGATCCTACTGAAATAGAGTGACAACTCCAATACACTGGATCCTACTGAAATACACTGACAACTCCAATACACTGGATCCTACTGAAATACACTGACAACTCCAATACACTGGATCCTACTGAAATAGAGTGACAACTCCAATACACTGGATCCTACTGAAATAGAGTGACAACTCCAATACACTGGATCCTACTGAAATACACTGACAACTCCAATACACTGGATCCTACTGAAATACACTGACAACTCCAATACACTGGATCCTACTGAAATACACTGACAACTCCAATACACTGACAACTCCAATACACTGGATCCTACTGAAATAGAGTGACAACTCCAATACACTGGATCCTACTGAAATACACTGACAACTCCAATACACTGGATCCTACTGAAATAGAGTGACAACTCCAATACACTGGATCCTACTGAAATACACTGACAACTCCAATACACTGGATCCTACTGAAATACACTGACAACTCCAATACACTGGATACTTAACTGCTGAAATGGCTGACAGCTCAACTACTGAAATGACTACACACAGTTCAACCATAGTAGCCCAACAGTAATCTTTGACTACTTCAGTCACTGGTACTACTGTTGCCTTTTAGAGTTCAGTTGAATCTCAAACTATCGCGGTGTCAAAAAACAGTGGCTTATTTAACCACAGATACAGTTCATTGCAGACATGTGCACCTTAGTTTTGTTACAATTCACCTCAACGTTACAGAGAACAAGCTTTTGACTTATGCAGACGAAACCTTGAGTTGAAAAAAGCTCAGGTGGAGTGGTCATTTTTTCTGTTCTAATTACTGGAGTATACACTGCCAATTACCATAGTGGGGTCAACCATTTTCAACGTATGATACATTTAAAGAATCAAACTCACTGTTAAGTCCCTGAAAAATTTTATTTTTATTTCTAATGGACCGGTATTATGAACTGTAAAGTATTTTTGTACAAATTTAATACTTTGGTAGCATGATATTTATCGTCTATGTATAACTTTGGGAATTCCTCCAGCTGTAAACCTTTGTATGGCCGAGAAAAGATAAACAATAAAAAAAGATTTACAGAGTGGAAAAAACAACATGGCTGATGTGATTTACAGAGTGGAAAACAACATGGCTGAGGTGATTTACAGAGTGGAAAACAACAACATGGCTGAGGTGATTTACAGAGTGGAAAAAACAACATGGCTGAGGTGATTTACAGAGTGGAAAACAACATGGCTGAGGTGATTTACAGAGTGGAAAACAACATGGCTGAGGTGATTTACAGAGTGGGAAAAAACAACATGGCTGAGGTGATTTACAGAGTGGAAAAAACAACATGGCTGAGGTGATTTACAGAGTGGAAAAAACAACATGGCTGAGGTGATTTACAGAGTGGGAAAAAAAACATGGCTGAGGTGATTTACAGAGTGGAAAACAACATGGCTGAGGTGATTTACAGAGTGGAAAAAACAACATGGCTGAGGTGATTTACAGAGTGGAAAAAACAACATGGCTGAGGTGATTTACAGAGTGGAAAAAAACAACATGGCTGAGGTGATTTACAGAGTGGAAAAAACAACATGGCTGAGGTGATTTACAGAGTGGAAAAAAACAACATGGCTGAGGTGATTTACAGAGTGGAAAACAACATGGCTGAGGTGATTTACAGAGTGGAAAAAACAACATGGCTGAGGTGATTTACAGAGTGGAAAAAACAACATGGCTGAGGTGATTTACAGAGTGGAAAAAACAACATGGCTGAGGTGATTTACAGAGTGGAAAAAACAACATGGCTGAACAAGGTGATTTTCTGTCAATATCTCAGCCCATCTCCATCTGCAACAAGGTACTGACGAAATGATCACAATCTCATCTGAGGCAATTAATTACATGATACAAGATGTATAGCAATTAAAACATGACTTTAAAATAAACAGATAATAATACACAGAGTTTACTGTCTAATGATGGCGCCGGAAGGGATTGTGACCGCAAGGCGCTGCAGAGGGTGGTGCGTACGGCCCAGTACATCACTGGGACCAAGCTTCCTGCCATCCAGGACCTCTATACCAGGCGGTGTCAAAGACTCCAGCCACCCTAGTCATAGACTGTTCTCTCTGCTACCGCACGGCAGGCGGTACCGGAGCGCCAAGTCTAGGTCCAAAAGGCTCCTTAACAGCTTCTACCCCCAAGCCGTAAGACTGCTGAACAATTAATCAAATGGCCACCCGGACTATTTACTTTGACCCCCCCCCACCCCCACTGCTGCTACTTGCTGTTTATTATCTATGTATAGGTCACTTCACAAATTACCTCAACTAACCTGCACCCCCGCACGTTGACTCGGTACTGGTAACCCCTGTATATCGCCTCGTTATTGTTATTTTATTGTGTTACTTTTCTTTTTACTTTAGTTTATTTAGTTTTTAAAAAATCTTAATTGCATTGTTGGTTAAGGGCTTGTAATTAAGCATTTCACTGTAACGTCTACACCTGTTGTATTCGGCGCATGTGACAAATACAATTTTATTTGATTAAAATATCCTGGTATCAATGCAGTACTGGACATCAATCATAAGATATCTTGGTATCAACAAAGATGTTTTATAACTAAACCAAGATAGACCATAGCCCATCGTTTCAAATGAGAACAAATGAGTCATAGTGGGCAGAACAAGCAAGGAGGTGGGCAGAGCCAAGCACGAGCTAGCGAGATCCTATTGGCTGTGTTCTAGCATGCATTTGCATATTTCTGTTAGGCAACGCCTACTGTGTGTAGTGCGCGTGTGCAGTAATTCAATTTGCCCAAAACTTTGGCAACGGGTAAAGTCTAAAAACCATAGTCCACTCAGTTCGTAACAGATTCTAGTTTTGGGAACTGTATTGAGATAAAATGTTTCATCGATGGGAACATTTGCAGAATGTCGGCCAAAATCCATCTCGTTCCATCATCTCCCACTGCCGGCCACTGGGCTTCCTCTCACTACCATATTTGGTAGTGAGTAGAAACGCCAAGCGGATGCTTCACATTTATACATCCGGTGAAATATCCGTCTCATTGTTCTGTGGTATCAATGCAGTAGTGTCCATCAATCATAAGATATCCTGGTATCAATGCAGTAGTGTCCATCAATCATAAGATATCCTGGTATCAATGCAGTACTGGACATCAATCATAAGATATCACGGTATCAATGCAGTGGAGATCAATCATAAGATATCCTGGTATCAATGCAGTACTGGACATCAATCATAAGATATCACGGTATCAATGCAGTAGTGTCCATCAATCATAAGATATCCTGGTATCAATGCAGTACTGGACATCAATCATAAGATATCACGGTATCAATGCAGTAGTGTCCATCAATCATAAGATATCCTGGTATCAATGCAGTACTGGACATCAATCATAAGATATCACGGTATCAATGCAGTAGTGTCCATCAATCATAAGATATCCTGGTATCAATGCAGTACTGGACATCAATCATAAGATATCACGGTATCAATGCAGTAGTGGACATCAATCATAAGATATCCTGGTATCAATGCAGTGGAGATCAATCATAAGTAGAGAACATTAAGTGTTAAATCCATGTAAAATCCTCCCCATGTTGAATATTGGGTATTTATATAATCAATAAGAATTGCACGCTGCAAAACATTTTGCTATGGTGTACCCTAACAAACAGAACCCATGTGTGGACGGGTCTCCTTTGGGGGGGTCAGGGAGAGAAGGTGGTCAGTCCCGGTCGGAGGGTGGATCTTGGAAGAGCCGTTTACCGCGGGGGTTGTGAGTTGGCGTGCGGAGGGAGAGCTGCTGCAGGCTGGAACAGCCCAGCGGTGATTCGAATGGCTCCACCTACACAGATGACACAACAACAACAGCAAGATGGAGTCAGAGAAAAGTGACAACTCTTCCCAAATAACTCTTAGAATAACCGCTAAAAACACTTCTACTAAAATAACCCCTCCACACCATACCTCAAACACTTCTTCAAACGTGCTCTAGTCATGTGTGAAATGTACTGCTTCCACCACAAAAAGCACAATTGAAAATCTATACACCAAGGCTTCCTTCTCTTACCTTCATCTGTTTTGAAGGAGTTACATTCTGTTGCCCACTGTCAGGACTGAGCGTCCTCTTGGGAGGGGAGCTCTCACCCCGAGACAGAGCAGCCTTCCCCGTGTGTCCATCCTCTACAGAGCTAGCCTCCATCTTGATCCCCTCCTCCTCCTCCTCACACCACCCAGGCTGCTCCTGAGAGGGGTCCTCAGAGCTGCTGTTCATAGGCGACCAGGTATATGCCTGACTGAAAGTGATGTCGTCCATTAGAGAGGTGTCTGTAGCATCTGCCTGAGGAGCTGCTGGAGGCTCATTTCTCCACAGCTGCCTGGGTAGGACCGATGTAGAGTGGGACTGGACACGATTGGCGTGAAGTGGGACTGCTAGGATGGGTGTAGAGAGGACGCTGGGTGCTGCTACAGGGGTTCTGTAGGGGCTGCTCCATAGAGACCAGCTAGGTGTCTGTGAGGCCAGAGGAGTGGACCGCGTAGGCCCGAAGCCTGGGGCTGCCCTGCGAGGTGTGCCTGGCAGGGGTTGGTTCTGGTCTGGTTGGTCCTGCCCCACAGCCCCTCCAGCTCCAGGCTGGACCAGTAGCTCTTTGACCAGGGTTCCCAGCCGGGTGTTACGTGGGATGATGCGTCTCTTGATGGCTGAGGCCATGCCCTCCTGCTTGGCTATGACATATACACGCTTCTGTCCCCGTGTCACGGCCGTGTACACGTGTTTCCACGTCTGGACGCTGCCGTTACCCAGCACGTACACAACCGTCTCCGTCTCCGAGCCCTGACACACAGAGGGAAGGTACAGTACAACTGAATAATTCCATCAGAGAAAATGTCTAACTAGTTAGAATCTACTGAACTGCTTAGTTTAATCATACGCCATTCATAAACTGAGTAGAGACAGAAAGAGAGAGAGAGAGAAAGAGGAGGGAGAGAGAGGGAGAGAGAAAAAGGAGAGAGAGAGAGGGAGAGAAAGAGGAGGGAGAGTGAGAGAAAGAAAGGAGAGAGAGAGAGAAAGAAAGGAGAGAGAGAGAGAAAGAGGAGGGAGAGTGAGAGAAAGAAAGGAGAGAGAGAGAGAAAGAAAGGAGAGAGAGAGAGAAAGAAAGGAGAGAGAGAAAGAGGAGGGAGAGTGAGGGAGAGAGACAATGTGTGTACCTGGAAGGTGTGTACGGTCCTAGCCCAAGTGTGTTGCAGCCTAGTCTGTGGTGTGTGTGTGTGTGTGTGTGTGTGTGTGTGTGTGTGTGTGTGTGTGTGTGTGTGTGTGTGTGGGTACCTGGAAGGTGTGTATGGTCCTAGCCCAGGCGTGTTGCAGTCTACACTCTCTCTGCAGATCCCTAAAGGACACACACAGCATCCGTCCGTCACGATCATCCAGAGTCAGGTACCTCTGCTTCCTGCTCCGCTGTGAGCCCGCCTCCTCCTCTGTCACGTCCTGTCACAGGAGGAGACACAACCAAAAGAGCAGGGCTCAACCAATTAGAATTGAGCCGGAGCCAGAGCCATTGTAGTCATTGACAGCTCCGGAATAGCCTAAAAACATGTAAACTATTGCTTAAGTGAAGGGTCCTCTCATTTTCTCACATGTTTAATGAAGAATATCTCTCCGTTGCACAGGCGTTCTTTCTCCTTCTTTTTGCTTTTCCCCCTCTCCTCTCTGTCCAGTCCAGGAAGTCTCTTCCCAGTCCTGGCCCTGTCAGGTATGTTCTCCAGGACCTCTTCTTCAGGAGACCCCTCCTTGTTCCTGTCTGCGACGTAGCCGTTCTTTGTACAGCAGACTTTATCTCCCGGCTGGAAATCAAGTCGGTTCTTGCTGTTTCTGAGGTAAAAGATCAACATATCAAACCCAAAATGATCCATCTATCTATATATACACAGTGCATTCGGAAAGTATTCAGACCCCTTGACTTTTTCCACATTTTGTTACGTTACAGCCTTATTCTAAAACGGATTAACCTCTACGGGATCGGTGTGTCCCGTATACGGGACGGTTGAGCTAACGTGCGCTAATGTGATTAGTATGACTGTTGTAAGTAACAGCAAACTTTCCAGGACATAGACATGTCTTATATGGGCAGAAAGCTTATATTCTTGTTAATCTTAACTGCACTGTCCAATATACAGTAGCTATTACAGTGACAACATACCACGCTATTGTTTGAGCAGAGTGCACAACAACAAAAAACGAATCACGGCAACTGGTTTGATACATTCACCTCTGAAGGTAAATAATTTACTTACACTACCGGTCAAAAGTTTTAGAACACCTACTCATGCAAGTGTTTTTCTCTATTTTGAGTATTTTCTACATTGTAGAATAATAGTGATGACATCAAAATGATGAAATAACACATATGGAATCATGTAGTAAGTGTTAAACAAATCAAAATATATTTTATATTTGAGATTCTTCAAATAGCCACCCTTTGCCTTGATGACAGCTGTGCACACTCTTGGCATTCCCTCAACCAGCTTCACCTGGAATGCTTTTCCAACAGTCTTGAAGGAGTTCCCACATATGCTGAGCACTTGTTGGCTACTTTTCCTTCACTCTGCGGTCCGACTTATCCCAAACCATCTCAATATGGTTGAGGTCGGGGGATTGTGGAGGCCAGGTCATCTGATGCAGCACTCCATCACTCTCATTGGTAAAATAGCCCTTACACAGCCTGGATGTGTGTTGGGTCATTGTCCTGTTGAAAAACAAATTATATAGTCCCACTAAGCCCAAACCAGATGGGATGGCGTATCGCTGCAGAATGCGGTGGTAACCATGCTGGTTAAGTGTGCCTTGAATTCTAAATAAATCACAGACAGTGTCACCAGCAAAGCACCCCCACACCATCACATCTCCTCCTCCATGCTTCACAGTGGGAACCACATATGCGGAGATCATCCGATCACCTACTCTGCGTCTCACAAAGAAATGGCGGTTGGAACCAAAACTCTCAAATTTGGACTCATCAGACCAAAGGACAGATTTCCACCGGTCTAATGGCCATTGCTCGTGTTTCTTGGCCCAAGCAAGTCTCTTCTTCTTATTGGTGTCCTTTAGTAGTGGTTTCTTTGCAGCAATTCGACCATGAAGGCCTGATTCACGCTGTCCCCTCTGAACAGTTGATGTTGAGATGTGTCTGTTACTTGAACTCTGTGAAGCATTTATTTCCACTGCAAATTCTGAGGCTGGTAACTCTAATGAACTTATCCTCTGCAGCAGAGGTAACTCTGGGTCTTCCATTCCTGTGGCAGTCCTCATGAGAGCCAGTTTCATCATAGCGCTTGATGTTTTTTGTGACTGCACTTGAAGAAACTTTCAAAGTCCTTGAAATGTTCCGTATTGACTGACCTTCATGTCTTAAAGTAATGATGGACTGTCGTTTCTCTTTGCTTCTTGCCATAATATGGACTTGGTCTTTTACCAAATAGGGCTATCTTCTGTATACCCCCCCTACCTTGTCACAACACAACTGATTGGCTCAAACACATTAAGAAGTAAAGAAATTCCACAAATTAACTTTTAAGAAGGCACACCTGTTAATTGAAATGCATTCCAGGTGACTACCTCATGAAGCTGTTTGAGAGAATGCCAACAGTGTGCAAAGCTGTCATCAAGGCAAAGGGTGGCTATTTGAAGAATCTCAAATATAAAATATATTTTGATTTGTTTAACACTTACATGATTCCATGTGTTATTTCATAGTTTTGATGTAGCTACAATGTAGAAAATTGTAAAAATTAAAACCCTTGAATGAGTAAATGAGGTGTTCTAAAACTTTTGACCGGTAGTGTACATTCAGTAATCTTGCTCTGATTTGTGATAAAATGTAGCATAGTTTTGTTTGAAACAATCCATTTTCATATTCAAATGTAGGAACTGGGTTCTACCCCTGCTGTCTCTAGCTCCAAACCCACCCCGCCCGGCCATCTAGATGTGTGAAAGTTAGTGTATAAGCTAATGATCCATCATGGATGACATTCCTGGGAGTGTGAAAACGTACATTTTGTATTACCATATCATTTTTGTATGTTCTCTATAGTTATGTACATGAAAATGTATCAACTGACCAATTCGGCACATTTGGGCAGACTTTATACAAAATAGTCCAGTATTGCAATGCTTCACTGGATCAATCTGAAACTTTGCACACACCCTGCTGCCATCTAGTGGCCAAAATCTATATTGTGCCTAAACTGCAATGTTATTAAATAAAAACAATTCTTCATCAATCTACACACGATACCCCATAATAAGTGAAAACAGGTTTGTAGAAACCTTATTTACATAAGTATTCAGACCCTTTGCTATGAGACTCAAAATTGAGCTCAGGTGCATCCCGTTTCCATTGATCATCCTTGAGATGTTTCTATAACTTGATTGAAGTCCACCTGTGGTAAATTCAATTGATTGGATATGATTTGGAAAGGCACACACCTGTCTATATAAAGGTCCCACTGTTGACAGTGCATGTCAGAGCAGAAACCAAGCCATGAGGTCGAAGGAATTGTCCGTAGAGCTCCGAGGCAGGATTGTGTCGAGGCACAGATCTGGGGAAGGGTACCAAAAAATGTCTGCAGCATTGAAGGTCCCCAAGAACACAATGGCCTCAATCATTCTTAAATGGAAGAAGTTTGGAACCACCAAGACTCTTCCTAGAGCTGGCCGCCCGGCCAAACTGAGCAATCGGGGGAGAAGGGCCTTGGTCAGGGAGGTGACCAAGAACCCGATGTTCACTCTGACAGAGCTCCAAAGTTCCTCTGTGGAGATGGGAGAAACTTCCAGAAGGACAATCATCTCTGCAGCACTCCACCAATCAGGCCTTTATGGTAGAGTGGCCAAACGGAAGCCACTCCTCAGTAAAATGCACATGACAGCTCGCTTGGAGTTTGCCAAAAGGCACCTAAAGGACTCTCAGACCATGAGAAACAACATTCTCTGGTCTGATGAAACCAAGATTGAACTCTTTGGCCTGAATGCCAAGCGTTACGTCTGGAAGAAACCTGGCACCAACCCTACCGTGAAGCATGGTGGTGGCAGCATCATGCTGTGGGAATGTTTTTCACCGGCAGGGACTGGGAGACTAGTCAGGATCGAGTGAAAGATGAACGGAGCAAAGTTCAAAGAGATCCTTGATGAAAACCTATTCTAGAGCGGACCTCAGACTGGGGCGAAGGTTCACCTTCCAACAGGACAACGACCCTAAGCACACAGCCAAGACAACGCAGGAGTGGCTTCGGGACAAGTCTCTGAATGTCCTTGAGTGGCCCAGCCAGAGCCCGGACTTGAACCCAATCGAACATCTCTGGAGAGACCTGAAAATAGCTGTGCAGCGACGCTCCCCATCCAACCTGACAGAGCTTGAGAGGATCTGCAGAGAAGAATGGGAGAAACTCCCCAAATACAGGTGTGCCAAGCTTGTCGCGTCATACCCAAGAAGACTCGAGGCTGTAATCGCTGCCAAAGATGCTTCAACAAAGTACTGAGTAAAGGGTCTGAATACTTATGTAAACGTTTCCGTTTTTTATATTTAATAAATGTGGGAAAAATTCTAAAAACCTGGTTTTTGCTTTGTCATTATGGGGATTGATGAAGAAAAAAAACTATTTAATCCATTTTAGAATAAGGCTGTAATGTAACAAAATGTGGAAAAAGTCAAGGGGTCTGAATACTTTCCGAATGCACTGTATGTATACAGCTAAGGAGACCTGCTGGACTAATAGAAACAAACAGGGTCTAGGAGTGGAGTAAACTCCCCTCTGCTTCATCACATCGCAGATTCTTCCTTTTTATAACTGGTACAACAGCTCTATCCGGTGGTCCACTAATTACATAGCAGTAGAAACAACATCTCTTCTAACAACATCTCTTCTAACAACATCTATTCTAATAGCAGTAGAAACAACATATCTTCTAACAACATCTCTTCTAATAGCAGTAGAAACAACATCTCTTCTAATAACATATCTTCCAATAGCAGTAGAAACAACATCTCTTCTAACAACATCTCTTCTAATAGCAGTAGAAACAGCATCTCTTCCAATAGCAGTAGAAACAACATCTCTTCCAATAGCAGTAGAAACAACATCTCTTCCAATAGCAGTAGAAACAACATCTCTTCCAATAGCAGTAGAAACAACATCTCTTCCAATAGCAGTAGAAACAACATCTCTTCCAATAGCAGTAGAAACAACATCTCTTCCAATAGCAGTAGAAACAACATCTCTTCCAATAGCAGTAGAAACAACATCTCTTCCAATAGCAGTAGAAACAACATCTCTTCTAACAACATCTCTTCCAATAGCAGTAGAAACAACATCTCTTCCAATAGCAGTAGAAACAACATCTCTTCTAACAACATCTCTTCCAATAGCAGTAGAAACAACATCTCTTCTAACAACATCTCTTCTAATAGCAGTAGAAACAGCATCTCTTCCAATAGCAGTAGAAACAACATCTCTTCTAACAACATCTCTTCTAATAGCAGTAGAAACAACATCTCTTCTAACAACATCTCTTCTAATAGCAGTAGAAACAGCATCTCTTCCAATAGCAGTAGAAACAACATCTCTTCCAATAGCAGTAGAAACAACATCTCTTCTAATAGCAGTAGAAAAAACATATCTTCTAACAACATCTCTTCCAATAGCAGTAGAAACAACATCTCTTCCAATAACAGTAAAAACAACATATCTTCCAATAGCAGTAAAAACAACATCTCTTCCAATAGTAGTAGAAACAACATCTCTTCTAATAGCAGTAGAAACAACATCTCTTCTAATAGCAGTAGAAACAACATCTCTTCCAATAGCAGTAGAAACAACATATCTTCTAACATATCTTCCAATAGCAGTAGAAACAACATCTCTTCCAATAGCAGTAGAAACAACATCTCTTCCAATAGCAGTAGAAACAACATCTCTTCTAATAGCAGTAGAAACAACATCTCTTCCAATAGCAGTAGAAACAACATATCTTCTAACATATCTTCCAATAGCAGTAGAAACAACATCTCTTCCAATAGCAGTAGAAACAACATCTCTTCCAATAGCAGTAGAAACAACATCTCTTCCAATAGCAGTAGAAACAACATCTCTTCCAATAGCAGTAGAAACAACATCTCTTCCAATAGCAGTAGAAACAACATCTCTTCCAATAGCAGTAGAAACAACATATCTTCCAATAGCAGTAGAAACAACATCTCTTCTAACAACATCTCTTCTAATAGCAGTAGAAACAACATCTCTTCTAACAACATCTCTTCCAATAGCAGTAGAAACAACATCTCTTCCAATAGCAGTAGAAACAACATCTCTTCCAATAGCAGTAGAAACAACATCTCTTCCAATAGCAGTAGAAACAACATCTCTTCCAATAGTAGTAGAAACAACATCTCTTCCAATAGCAGTAGAAACAACATCTCTTCCAATAGCAGTAGAAACAACATCTCTTCCAATAGCAGTAGAAACAACATCTCTTCCAATAGTAGTAGAAACAACATATCTTCTAACATCTCTTCTAATAGCAGTAGTGACTTACTTGGTGCGGTGGTTACAGTAATGCTTGCAGCAAAGCTCATTGATCAAGGCACACTCCCTCCTGCAAAAGAAATGGAGGCACAGTTAAGATACAGGTCAAACAATGGTGTAGAGAAGCCCTCTACATATCTGACCACCCTACTCTCCTATAGCATCAATGGTGCAGAGAAACCCTCTACATATCTGACCACCCTACTCTCCTATAGCATCAATGGTGCAGAGAAACCCTCTACATATCTGACCACCCTACTCTCCTATAGCATCAATGGTGCAGAGAAACCCTCTACATATCTGACCACCCTACTCTCCTATAGCATCAATGGTGCAGAGAAACCCTCTACATATCTGACCACCCTACTCTCCTATAGCATCAATGGTGCAGAGAAACCCTCTACACTACTGGTCAAAAGTTTTAGAACACCTACTCATTAAAGGGTTTTTCTTTCTTTTTACTATTTTCTACATTGTAGAATAATCGTGAAGACATCAAAACTATGAAATAACACATATGGAATCATGTAGTAACCAGAAAAGTGTTAAACAAACTATTCTTCAAATAGCCACCCTTTGCCTTGATGACAGCTTTGCACACTCTTGGCATTCTCTCAACCAGCTTCACCTGGAATGCTTTGCTAACAGTCTTGAAGGAGTTCCCACATATGCTGAGCACTTGTTGGCTGCTTTTCCTTTACTCTGCAGTCCAACTCATCCCAAATCATCTCAATTTGGTTGAGGTCGGGGGATTGTGGAGGCCAGGTCATCTGATGCAGCACTCCATCACTCTCCTTCTTGGTAAAATAGCCCATACACAGCCTGGAGGTGTGTTGGGTAATTGTCCTGTTGAAAAACAAATGATAGTCCCACTAAGCCCAAACCAGATGGGATGGCGTATTGCTGCAGAATGCTGTGGTAGCCATGCTGGTTAAGTGTGCCTTGAATTCTAAATAAATCACAGACAGTGTCACCAGCAAAGCACCCCCACACCATAACACCTCCTCCTCCATGCTTCACAGTGGGAAATACACATGTAGAGCTCATCCGTTCACCCACACGCGTCTCACAAAGACATGGTGGTTGGAACCAAAAATCTCAAATTTGGACTCCAGACCAAAGGACAATTTTCCACCGGTCTAATGTCCATTGCTCGTGTTTCTTGGCCGAAGCAAGTCTCTTCTTCTTATTGGTGTCCTTTAGTAGTGGTTTCTTTGCAGCGATTCGACCAAGAAGGCCTGATTCACACAGTCTCCTCTGAACAGTTGATGTTGAGATGTGTCTGTGACTTGAACTCTGTGAAGTATTTATTTGGGCTGCAATTTCTGAAGCTGGTAACTCTAATGAACGTATCCTCTGCAGCAGAGGTAACTCTGGGTCTTCCATTCCTGTGGTGGTCCTCATGAGAGCCAGTTTCATCATAGCGCTTGATGGTTTTTGCGACTTGAAATGTTCCGTATTGACTGACCTTCATGCCTTAAAATAATGATGGACTGTCGTTTCTCTTTGCTTATTTGAGCTGTTCTTGCCATAATATGGACTTGGTATTTTACCAAATAGGGCTATCTTCTGTATACCTCATGAAGCTGGTTGAGAGAATGCCAACCGTGTGCAAAGCTGTCATCAAGTCAAAAGGGTGGCTATTTGAAGAATCTCAAATACAAAATATGTTTTGATTTGTTTAACACTTTTTTGGTTACTACATGATTCCATATGTGTTATTTCATAGTTTTGATGTCTTCACTATTATTCTACAATGTAGAAAATAGTAAAAAAAATAAAGAAAAACCCTGGAATGAGTAGGTGTTCTAAAACATTTGACCGGTAGTGTACACATCTGATCACTCTACTCTCCTATCGCATCAATGGTGTAGAGAAACCCTTTACATATCTGACCATCCTACTGTCCTATACATGTCTTACCTTCTGAAGGCAATGAACTGTGACGTGGTATCATTCTTCAGTCCTGGAGCAGCGTTCAGTAATAGTTCGATAGCCACCTGGAGGTCTGAAAAAAACGACATCAATTGTGTTGCTTTATATTGTGAGTTTTACGGGTTTTCAGCACAGAGCCCAACACTGCGCCTATAAGATGGAGTCCATGGTGTCCTCACCATAGACAGAGTCCTCGTTGGTGTTGGGCAGCAGGATGAGGATGAACCTCTTGTCTTCAGAGGGCATGGTGTAACTCCCATTCAGATCCAAGATGGCGTCGTAGTGGAGCGGTCTGAAAGTATGCTTCATCCCCATCTCGGCGATTCTGAAAGAAAAAAAGGACAGACGCAGGATCTCTCCTTTCTCATGGTCAGTCATGGCATCAGGACATGATAAGAACATTTGTCAAAAATCTAGCTTACAGAATTTGCAATTTAAACAATCAAGAAAATGTTATAATGCATTTTATATCTGAATTTGCAAAGTTGTATCTAAAATTCTGGATATTCTAGCTACATATTGAATTTTTAATATATATATATATATATATATATATATATATATATATATATATATATATATATATATATCAAAGAATGACTGTGGCATTTCTATGTTTGTTGGAAAACTAAAGACAAAAACCAATGTCATATTTACAGTCCGGCGTTGTTGACGATGAGTTGAGACTCAGCTCTGTGGTTGGTCCTCATCTCGATGGCCCAGTGAGCCCGGCCCAGACTGTGGAACAGGTCATACAAGGTGTTGCCTGGCTGGATACTGGGCAGCTGACGCACATCGCCTAGACAACCAGAGCTACACCTTCACATACGGTAGCTGGAGCCCAGACCTGACTAGCCTCCATTATGGCAGACATATGGCTAACTACACAAGGCTAACCTAGAACAGGTCATACAAGGTGTTGCCTGGCTGGATACTGGGCAGCTGACGCACATCGCCTAGACAACCAGAGCTACACCTTCACATACGGTAGCTGGAGCCCAGACCTGACTAGCCTCCATTATGGCAGACATATGGCTAACTACACAAGGCTAACCTAGAACAGGTCATACAAGGTGTTGCCTGGCTGGATACTGGGCAGCTGACAGCGTCCCCTAGACAAACAGTCAGCCAGCAAGTCCTAAACCTTAAGTGTTTGCAGGATAGGTTTAAGCAGCGTAGTCTCATCTCATTCCGATAATGAGGAGTTTATTGGGATACAAGGTGATTTGAAGGCAATGTAGGAACACAAGTGTGTTCCATTACCATTGTCCAGGACAGGAAGTCCTCTCCTTAACTAACTCTGTTCCAGCTTCACACCCAACAAGTGTTGACATCATACTTTACACGTTTCACATTGTACAGCTTAAACCTGAGCTTAAAACCCAACGTACCCAGAAAGACAAACTTCCTGAGCTGTGCGTGTTTGGTGAGCATGGTGAGGATAGAGTGGAGGAGCTGAACGCACACCAGACTGCCCTCATCCACCACCAACACACGAACACAGGCAAACTTCCACTCCTCAGGAGCCCCATTAAGGTCTTTCTTGGCCTGCATGAAACTCCACAGCACCTGAGAGCGAGGGATGACAGGGGAGAGTGAGGGATGACAGGGGAGAGTGAGGGATGACAGGGAAGAGCGAGGGATGACAGGGAAGAGCGGGGGATGACAGGGAAGAGTGAGGGATGACAGGGAAGAGCGAGGGATGACAGGGAAGAGCGAGGGATGACAGGGAAGAGCGGGGGATGACAGGGAAGAGCGAGGGATGACAGGGAAGAGCGGGGGATGACAGGGAAGAGCGAGGGATGACAGGGCAGAGCGAGGGATGACAGGTAAGAGTGAGGGATGACAGGTAAGAGTGAGGGATGACAGGGAAGAGTGAGGGATGACAGGGAAGAGTGAGGGATGACAGGGAAGAGCGAGGGATGACAGGGAAGAGTGAGGGATGACAGGGAAGAGCGAGGGATGACAGGGAAGAGTGAGGGATGACAGGGCAGAGCGAGGGATGACAGGGAAGAGTGAGGGATGACAGGGAAGAGTGAGGGATGACAGGGTAGAGCGAGGGATGACAGGGTAGAGTGAGGGATGACAGGGTGGAGCGAGGGATGACAGGGAAGAGTGAGGGATGACAGGGAAGAGTGAGGGATGATATGTGGCTACTGACAGTGAATATGGCAGCTGACGGTGACAGGCTAATGTTTGCCATTCAGAAACCTGTTCTGTACCTTGCTAATAAAATATACAGGGTCAGAACTACAGAGATCCTATTGAATAACTATTCTATATGTCATTCTAAGGTCAGAACGGTCTCCTGTACCAACCTGATGCAGGGTGTAGGCCTTGAAGCAGGTTCTCTTGGTGAGCAGAGACGCAGCTCTCCCTGTGGGTGCTGTTAGTAACACCTCTTCCTCTCCCTGTAAAACCGACAAATTATCCCTCTCCTCCCCCTTTCCCTCCCCCTTTACCTCCCCCTCTAACTGAGAGAGGAGACTCTGCGACAGGGCTTCTTCTTCCCACCGCTCGGACAGCCAGAAGTCATTCTCAAAGTCCCAGCATGCCTTCCTGACCTCCTCCTCCTCCTCCTCCTCCTTCTTCTTTGGGCTCTGCTGCATGGCTGCCTTGAACACCAGACTCACCACCGTGGTCTTACCACAGCCACCCTTACCGCTGATCACAGTCACCGGGTTGGAGCAGATCATCTCCGCCGCACGCACCTGGTCTGGGTCTAAATCTACTGGAGGAGGATAGGGGCCCTGGTATGTAAGGGGGGCTGGTTCTGGGTCTCGTTTGATGTGGTCTGGGTCAGAGTATCCATTGGCCGTTCCAACAGCAGCATTAGTACGGCCTGTCTCCGCAGCGGTGTCCTCCATATCACACCTTTCATTCAGATGATCAGCCTTCTGCTCTGTGTCGGAGTTCACCTCACCTTGATCCTCCCCACTCCCTCCTCTCTTCCTCAGCCTCTCCAGTGCTGAAGTAGTCAGTACCTCTATGACATCCAGAGGTATAACCCAGGGCTCTCCCTGCACCAGACAGCGTAGACACTCAGCTATCCCAGTCTCATAAGAATGCAGGTTCTGCAGCGCCACCTTCTGGCGATCCCGCACCACCACACCCAGCTCTTTGAGGAAGTGGACAGCGTCCCAAACCTGAATGAATGAATTAATTAAGTCGTTTGAAATTCCAAATACATATGGAGCTGGCTCAGCAAGCGAGTCAACAACAACACATCAAACAATCACTGAGGATTAAAAACACAAAGTGGACAGAGGTCTTTCTACAGTGTTCCTCGTACCTCCTCCTCCCCCACGGAGCTACACCCCCTCCTGACCTCGTCACACAGGCTGGGGAGCTCTGTGTAGGTACTGCCCGTCCTGCAGCAGTGGATCTTTAGAGAGTCGTAGACTCGCAGGGCGTTACGCTGCTTCAGGGGGATCTCTTGGAAGAGTTTACACTCATGGAAGGATCTCAGCTGAGCCTCGCAACGGACGAGCCTCAACTCCTTGTACATCACCTAGAGAGAGAGGGGGGAGTAGGGAGAGAGAGAGGATGTAGGTGGAGGAGGCGGAATAGAGGTGAGGGGGGGTCTTTTTTCTCTTAGGGTGGTTGTGGGGTTTTTTTTTTTTCCCCCCCTTTTTTTTTTTTTTTTCCCCCTTTTTTTTTTTTTTCCCCCCCCCCCCCCCCCCCCCCCCCCCCCTTTTTTTTTTTCCCCCTTTTTTCCCCCCCCGGGGGGTTTTTTTTCCCCCTTTTTTTTTTTCCCCCCCCCCCCCTTTTTTTTTTTTTTTTTTTTTTTTTTTTGGGGGGGGGGGCCCCCTTTTGGAATGGGGGGCAAAATAAAAGTGGAACTGGAGGCCCGGGGCCCAACACCACATCAAAAAACACTAGGATTAAAACCAAGGGGGGCAGGGGCCCTTCTCAGTGTCCTCGTACCTCCTCTCCCCCGAGCTAAAACCCCCCCCTTTACCTCGTCACACAGCTTGGATTCTTTTTTACTGCCTCCTGCGCAGGGTCTTTAAGAATCGTAGCTGGAGGTTTCGCTGCTTCGGGGATCTCTTGAAGAGTTACACTCTGATTCCGGCTCGAAACGGACGCCTCAATCTTTCAACCTGGGAGGGGGATGGCAAGGAGGAGGGGGAAGAGGGGGGGTGGTAAATTTGGGAGTTGGGGAAAGCAGGTTGGGGGGCGAGATAGAGAGACCGCTAGGGGGGCTGTATCTCCTTTTGTCGAGGGGGGTTTTCTTCCTCTCTCTGTGGTGGTCTCCTCTTTTTTTGTCTCTCTCTCTCTTTGTATCCTTTTTTTTTTCTCTCTCTTCTCTTTTTTTCTTTCTCTCTTCTCTCTCTTTTTTCTCTTCTCTTTTCCCTCTCTCTCTCTTCTCCCTTCTCTTTTTTTCTCTTCCTCTCTCCTCCTTTTTCCCTCTCCTTCTATCTCTCTTATTGCTCTCTCTCTCTTCCTTTCCCTCTTCTCCTTTTTTCCCTCTTTTTTGGGTTTTTTTTTTGTTTCTTTTTTTCTGTTTTTCCCTTCTTCTATTTTTCTTCTTGTTCTTCTTTTTTTCTCCCCTTTTCCTTCCTCTTCTCCTCTCTCTCTTCCCTCTCCTTCTCTCTCCTCTCTCTCTCCCTCTCTCCCTTCTTCCTCTCGCGCTATCTTTGCCTCTCTCCATTTTCCCCCCTTTCTTCGCCCTCTTCTCTCTGTCTAGTTACTCCTCTCACTCTCCTTATTCTTCTCTTTTCTTTGATCTTTTTATTTAGTCTTCTCTGCTCCTCCACTCTCGTCTGGGCTATTGATTGTGCTATTATCGGTTCCCGACTGGATTGGTTCTGTCGACCAGTCTACGAAACCTTTGTCGCCCTCTGTTGACACCACAGTTTGTTAACCAAACAACAGTCCTCAACCAGCCAGGAGATTACACTTACATAGTTAAAGCCCAGCTTCCAGACATCAGTCTTGATAATCTCCTCTATTTTAGCCAGCAAGCTGAGACGCTCCTCTTCCTCATCTTCATCCATCGGTGTGACATGTGTAGGGGCTTGTGTAGCTCCCTGTGCTGCAGGACGTTTCTCGCTGCCCTTGCCCCGGCCCAGTAGCTCAGTGAAGCGCCCGGGCAGCAGGGTAGGCAGGTATCTCATCACATGGGGGTACAGAGAGGCAGCCTTCACGCGCATCCCTGCAACTGATAGACAGACAGACCGATGACGAGCTGTTTTCCAATACCCAGACTAACATACTGTATACTACATACTTAATGAGTATATACTGCATACTATTAGTTCATTTTAGTATACTGTAAAGGAACGGTATCATTTCAGTTGCGCGTATTAGCGCTTCGACTGTCTACCGGAAGTTGATGCTGTTGCTATGCAACCTCTTGCTAGCTTGTTAGCGTAACACATTTCTAGCTAGACTCCGGGTGTGTTCATAAATTCAATCTGGAGTGCCAGAATGTGCTCTGGGCGTTCGTAAATTCAGGGCGTTGTCAGATTGTCAGTTCGTAAATTCAGAGCGCTTTGTTCTCGGAGCATTCAGAGCGCACACTGGACGCTCTGGCCGAGGAGTAGGGTTGATCCGAGCGTTCTGACCTAACAACAGCAGTCAAGCACCCAAGCTAACTGGCTAACTTGCTAGCTACTTCAGACACAAATGAGAGAACACCTCACTCTGACCATTTTACTCGCCCGAGCAGAGCTGGTTAGGCTGTTTTCATGTTATCCAGAGCGTTGGTGAATGTAGCTGCTGCTGGCAACAATTTAATTTAGCTTTTTGCTGACGTTTATTGACACCGGCCTCATTCAACGGGTGTTGAGCGTTCGTAAATACATAAGTTATTCTGCGCTCTGGCACACAGACGAGAGTGCTCTGAAATCGGAGTAGATAGCCAGAGCGAATTTAAGAATCTTTGCAACTCTGCCTAGAAGGTCAGCATCCCTGAGTCGTCTCTTCACTGTAGACATTGAGACTGGTGTTTTGCGGGTACTATTTAATGAAGCTACCAGTTGAGGACCTGTGAGGCGTCTGTGTCTCGAACTAGACACTAATGTATTTGTCTTCTTGCTCAGTTGTGCACCGGGGCCTCCCACTCCTCTTTCTATTCTGGTTAGTGCCAGTTTGCGCTGTTCTGTGAAGGGAGTAGTACACAGCGTTGTACGAGATCTTCAGTTTCTTGGCAATTTCTCGCATGGAATAGCCTTCATTTCTCAGAACAAGAATAGACTGACGAGTTTCAGAAGAAAGTTATTTGTTTCTGGCCATTTTGAGCCTGTAATCGAACCCACAATTGCTGATTCTCCAGATACTCAACTAGTCTCAAAAAGGCCAGTTTTATTGCTTCTTTAATCAGCACAAGTTTTGAGCTGTGCTAACATAATTGCAAAAGGGTTTTCTAATGATCAATTAGCCTTTTTAAATGATAAACTTGGATTAGCAAACACAACGTGCCATTGGAACACAGGACTGATGGTTGCTGAAATAGATTTTCAAATTATTATTATTTTTTTTTTTATCAGCCGTTTCCAGCTTCAATAGCCATTTACAACATGAACGATGTCTACACTGTATTTCTGATCAATTTGATGTTATTTTAATGGACAAAAAAAATTGCTTTTCTTTCGAAAACAAGGACCCCAAACTTTTGAACGGTAGTGTACGTTGGGTAGTTATAGTTAGATAGCATTAGGTAAATATACTGGTAAGTTCGATGTATTAGTAGCCAACTAACGTTACAGTATGTAGCTAACATACCTGGTACATACTGCTGTAATGATATGCTATGCGGTTCATAAAGATAGCGTAGCTAACAAATTGTCAGCCAACATAACTTGTAACTTATTTGAAAAGTCATTACTTCATTACATTGCTCAACATTTTCATTAACATTTGTCATAATTAGTTAAAGCAACGAATTTGTATCCGCTCTCGTCTGACTTCTGCTGCACTTTTTCCGCCATTTTCTTCAAATCTGAAAACGTTGTGAAGCCAAGCACATTTTCTGAAGAATTGCATTATGGGCCCTAAAAGCACGGAAATAGTGTCCATTGATTGTATACTTCGTATTTTGGCGAATGTAGTACGACATCCGGGAACTTTTGGCATACTAACTATATCCATACTATGACCAATAAGCATACTACATACTCAATTTATGTCACAAATAGTACGGTTAATATTAGTATTTGAACACACCTATGGTCTTTGCTCACAGCACTCCATATTACCAAAACACTGTAGGTCAAGGTGTATCTCTCCCCCACGTCCACCTACCTGAAACAGAGACCAACGCTTTAATCTGCTGTGCCAATGCTCTGTGCTGCTCTCCTTCCTCAAACTCAGCCAGAACTTCCTGCAGGTTGTCAAACCCCACCTTCCTTCCCATCGGCAGCCAAGCAAAGAACGGGGTGACGAACTCTGCACCCACGCCGCAGGCCGCGAGGAACAGAGACATGACGGAGCGACCCTGGTCCACCTGGAGGTCTGAGCGAAGGCGGTAGGCAGGGTAGCCCCGCAGAGACAGGACGGAGCGACCCTGGTCCACCTGGAGGTCTGAGCGAAGGCGGTAGGCAGGGTAGCCCCGCAGAGACAGGACGGAGCGACCCTGGTCCACCTGGAGGTCTGAGCGAAGGCGGTAGGCAGGGTAGCCCCGCAGAGACATGACGGAGCGACCCTGGTCCACCTGGAGGTCTGAGCGAAGGCGGTAGGCAGGGTAGCCCCGCAGAGACAGGACGGAGCGACCCTGGTCCACCTGGAGGTCTGAGCGAAGGCGGTAGGCAGGGTAGCCCCGCAGCACCAGCTTGCCCCTGGCTGCGCGGGCCGTGAAGGTTGCCTCCCACCATGGGTCCTTCAGACTGAACCGGCCCTCTACTCTGCATCTCTTACCAGACACAATGTCCAGGAACTCAACTGGAATGGGCATGTGATAGAAAACGAAACAATTACACAAGATAGTTAGTTATTTAGCGGACTAGCTAGCTAGCTAGATCATCAGAATGCATTCATCGTGGTGGATTGTATGAGTTTTGTGTGTGTGTTTTAGTGTCACTATCAAGAGATAAAGCAGATTGAACAAACTGTAGAATTACAGTAGGCAACTAGCTCCTATTTCTACAGTAGAAGTTACAATCAATACAAGCTCGATCGACAAAGTGACACTGTCACGGTCCCTTATCGCAGATGGTTGGCAACTTGTTAGCTAGATAAACATGCCTCATTTGTTGCAAGTGACAACCTCATTAGCTAGTTAGGCTAACTTTATCATGTGAACTTATCAAAGCTATGATGATCTGTCAACGACCAACCACCTTCGTTTCGGGCCGGTATGGAGGACTTAAACAGATGTCCTCCAGAGCTAACGCTGTCCATCTCTTTCATATCCAGAAACTCCGGCTGTGCTTCTTCCTCCTCATCATCTTCCCCATCAGAATCGGCATTTTCGGCCTTTTTAACCTTATTTTCAGGTAAAATGTAGCCGATTATGTTTCTGTCACCAAGAGGACACCCCAACAGTGACATTTCTGTTTTGTTTTGCTTATTTCGCGCGTTAATTTCATTTCACAGCTGACATAAAAACAAGGAAGTGCCAAAGCGGAAGTGCTTTAGTTTTTTTTCGAGCCAGCCCAAAAACTAGCATATAAGCGCCACCCACCGGCCTAATCGGCATGCATTTAGTTTTACTAGTGTTTAAGAGCAGTTGGAGGCTACTGAAGGAGTGTTGTATGGCATTGAAGCTCGTTTGGAGGTTTGTTAACACTGTCCAATGAAGGGCCAGATGTATACAAAATGGTGTGAGAATGGATCTGAGAATCACCAGCAGCAAGAGCGACATCATTGATATACACAAGAATTGAACCCTGTGGCACCCCCATAGAGACTGCCAGAGGTCCAGACAACAGGCCCTCCGATTTGACACATTGAACTCTATCTGGGAAGTAGTTGGTGAACCAGGCGAGGCAGTCATTTGAGAAACCAAGGCTATTTAGTCTGCCAATAAGAATGCGGTGGTTGACAGAGTCGAAAGCCTTGGCCAGGTCGATGAAGACGGCTGCACAGTACTGTCTATTATCGATCGCGGTTATAATATCGTTTAGGACCTTGAGCGTGGCTGAGGTGCACCCATGACCAGCTCGGAAACCGGATTGCATAGCGGAGAAGGTACGGTGGGATTCGAAATGGTCGGCGATCTGTTTGTTAACTTGGCTTTCAAAAACTTTCGAAAGGCAGGGCAGGATGGATATAGTTCTGTAACAGTTTGGATCTAGAGTGTCACCCCATTTGAAGAGGGGGATGACCGCGGCAGCTTTCCAATCGCCAAGACAACAACTGGTAATGGCGATGAAAGTTTGGGCTGAGGCTAAACAGATAAACAGGACAGGGTACCGTGTAAAGGAACAGTCCAGCAGGCATCAGCTGTGCAGCTGAGTGATCATAAGGTCCCAGTGAACAGCCGAGAGCAGTTCGAATTGGTGCTACAACATCTTATTTGAAGTCATGAATGCAGTTTATAGTTGTGTACTACAGTGAAAGCGGACTATAGTTTGTTTACCTATAAATAATTTCAAACGAATTCATCCACATTGTCAATCATATTTTATTAATAAAAAGGCATGAAAAATGTAAAGTCAACTTACGAAACATAAATAAGGGGATAGTTCACCCAAATTACAAAATGACACGTTGGTTTTCTTACTCTGTCAGCAGCCTATGGACAAGGTATGACAGCAATTCATGCTTTGGTTTAGTTTCCCTGGCACAGTTTCTACACGCTAATGTTTTAAATTATCTTTATAAAAATGCTTTATAGAAATCATGTCCTAATTTTATAAATAAGAAATGGAATCTGTCAGCAGATAATAAATAGCTTTCTATAATAATAATATAGTTTTAGCATAATATACCGTCAATGAAGGACATAGATTGCTATCGTTCAACCACATGAACGTCACGTCTTGTCACATACCAGGGCTGGGTTTCCCAAAAGCATCGTAGCACTAAGATCATCTTAATTCCATTGAAACTAAATGGACGAAAGATGAGCCCAGATCCGTACAGTCATTTTAAAGAAAGGGAGGTTTGAAACCAATATTATTTGATGTGTACATCTACAGTATCCTGTGGCTAAGAGGCCATGCCAGGTCATTTAACCAGGGCCAGAAATGATTAAGTCAGATATATGGATAAGTTTAACTCTCTCTCTCTCTCTCTCTCTCTCTCTTCTCTCTCTCTCTCTCTCTCCTCTCTCTCTCTCTCTCTCTCTCTTCTCTCTCTCTCTCTCTCTCTCTCTCTCTCTCTCTCTCTCTCTCTCTCTCTCTCTCTCTCTCTCTCAGCAGGCCATGTATGCATGTGTCATTCAAAGTAGTGAAGTTGTCCTAGATGCTGGGCTGGGGTCTGTTTTGTGTTTTTACCCTCTAAATGGTTCAGATTAGGATTTGGGGAAGGGCAGGCAGATCCCAGATCAGCGTTTGTCACTCCTGGGTTGCCATGGAGATAGAGAGGAGTTCCTCTGTTCTGATGAGGCTTCTGTTGTACAGATCAATCTTATTCCTCAGTCTGTCCTTGGCAGGGTTGTCCACTAAACCAAGGGAAGGGAAGCTGAGGTCACCTGTAACATAGACACCACCATTGGAATGAAACCATGGTTACAGTATGTGACTCTCGACTCAACATTGGCTGCTGTGTAAAGAAGAAACGATCTCTGAAATCTTTATTTTTATACAACCAGGTTCTATAGCTAAAACAGTGTTTTTCCTTGACCCTTTGACCAGACCTGGATAAACTCCAGGTCCTAGTTACAGTCTCTAGGTAGATATAGTCTATAGGTAGTTACAGTCTATAGATAGTTACAGTCTATAGGTAGTTACAGTCTATAGGTAGTTACAGTCTATAGGTAGTTATAGTCTATAGGTAGTTATAGTCTATAGGTAGTTACAGTCTATAGGTAGTTATAGTCTATAGGTAGTTATAGTCTATAGGTAGTTACAGTCTATAGGTAGTTATAGTCTATAGGTAGTTATAGTCTATAGGTAGTTATAGTCTATAGGTAGTTATAGTCTATAGGTAGTTACAGTCTATAGGTAGTTATAGTCTATAGGTAGTTACAGTCTATAGGTAGTTATAGTCTATAGGTAGTTATAGTCTATAGGTAGTTATAGTCTATAGGTAGTTATAGTCTATAGGTAGTTATAGTCTATAGGTAGTTACAGTCTATAGGTAGTTATAGTCTATAGGTAGTTATAGTCTATAGGTAGTTACAGTCTATAGGTAGTTACAGTCTATAGATAGTTACAGTCTATAGGTAGTTATAGTCAATAGGTAGTTATAGTCAATAGGTAGTTACAGTCTATAGATAGTTACAGTCTATAGGTAGTTACAGTCTATAGATAGTTACAGTCTATAGGTAGTTACAGTCTATAGGTAGTTACAGTCTATAGGTAGTTACAGTCTATAGGTAGTTACAGTCTATAGATAGTTACAGTCTATAGATAGTTACAGTCAATAGGTAGTTATAGTCTATAGGTAGTTATAGTCTATAGGTAGTTATAGTCTATAGGTAGTTACAGTCTATAGATAGTTACAGTCTATAGGTAGTTATAGTCTATAGGTAGTTACAGTCTATAGATAGTTACAGTCTATAGGTAGTTATAGTCTATAGGTAGTTATAGTCAATAGGTAGTTACAGTCTATAGATAGTTACAGTCTATAGGTAGTTACAGTCTATAGGTAGTTATAGTCTATAGGTAGTTACAGTCTATAGATAGTTACAGTCTATAGGTAGTTACAGTCTATAGATAGTTACAGTCTATAGGTAGTTATAGTCAATAGGTAGTTAGTCTATAGGTAGTTACAGTCTATAGATAGTTACAGTCTATAGGGCCTTGGGCTTAAACCTGGTTAGGTTTAAGGTATAACTTCTGGTCCCAAACATAATACTTGCCTTGAGGGAGGTCTGAGGGGCAGGGAGTAAATCCATTGGCTGTACAATCCTCACAGCCCATTCCATCCACCTCAGCTGAACAGCTACACTGGACTGGCCAGCTACTGTATAGATCCACTGTCTCTCCATTGGTCTGGAGGCTCTGGCCCAGCCGCTCCCCACTGCCCAGATAGGTGACCTCTGACTGGCTACACTCACAGGGCCCTCCCTGGGCTGGAGCTGGCTGTGGGTTGGCACTGGGGTAACTGTGCAGCTCATCGTCCTCTACAGGCACACTGGGGCTGGGGTTGGAGCTGGGGCCATCTCCCGTCTGGGCAGGGGAGGCAGGGGGAGCTGGGGCCCAGTCGGTCAGGGTGTGGGGCTGGTCTTCAGGTGGGGACGGCAGGGGAAGCAGCTGGCTCAATACCTGTAGCACCTGGAAGAGACAGGTGGGGGAAAACACCCATTTCGTTATTGTAAAAGATAACGTGCTATCAATGATTTACCTGTAAATAAAGGCAAATCTCTTCACTCATCAAAAATGGACAGAAATAAATATATTATGACTCATAAAGTCAATATTTACTAAGTCCACAAATGTTGAGAGGCTGTAAATGACTTTTGTTCTCATTTGTATAGTCAGCCCCTCACCTAGCTGCAGTATTCAGTCCAGACTGAGATAACTGTAGTTTTAACTATGCTTTCAGGGAAACACAGTTACTTTGGAGGTGACTACAACTACTTGAAAACAGATCCCCCCCCCAAAAAAATGACTACTTTTTAAAACTATTTGAATACAGATTGGATTGGCTGCCTTCAACTAATGGCAGGGCTGTATCTGGAACTGCTTGTTTGAAGTCATATTTGATCTACACAATACATTTATATCTGAACATTCTGTAAATGTCCATTCTCCTGAATGTCCATTGCCCCAGGTGTACACTATCAAGTCAAACCAATTAACAATGATATTTTGCACAGATAAGTTGTGACGCTCAACTACAGACGTAGGATTTTACTTTGATCACACTTTTGTTGCTGATAATTTTCCTGCACATCAGAAAATGCTAACTTGTAGTGTATTTGAGTTTTGAAAAAGGCTTCTAAAGTTTGTAATATCGACTTTAACATTTCAGATTTGATTTGCCCTAATGAAAAAAGTATCAAGCCCTACAAAAATGTCCATTAATTATAATCCACATAATAATTCACATTTCCTGTTGCTGCAGGATTATTTTCCTGCTGTAGCAAACTGGCTCAAATTAAGATCCTACATCTGTACTGTATGACTTTTAACATGCCACTGAAAAGTTTGAAAGATGCAATTAATTTGATGATACCTAAAAATACCGCAGAGTAATTCAAATCCATTTGCAAACATTGCTAACAGCAAGTTGGATGCTTAGCAAAAACAACGTTGAAACCTCTTTGTCCATCTGAGCGTAAGTGTTCTTGTTTTAAAACACACACACTATACCATCTTTAAAGGGATAGTTTACTCACAAACTAACATGTTTTTCACACCTACCTTGGCTGTAGTTGATTCAAGAAGGCAGTTTTGGGATATTTATTTTCCCTTCGACACTTAATAGACATATTTTGTTCCTGTTAGCATTCTCACTAGCACTTAACGTGAAACTGTTCTTGTGCCTGAGTAATAAAACTCTAATTAGTTTTGGAGCAACATTTTATTAGCATGTGGTTACGTAATACTTTGGTAATTGCATTTGAATTGCATGGCAATGAGCTGAGAATCTTTGTAACTACTGTACACAAGAATAGTGACTGTTCCTTATTCCATGTAATAACTCCATTATTGTGCAATTATAAAGACATTTCCAAAGTCCTACGTAACAACAATGTTGCTATTGTAATATTCACAAATTTACTACGTATGTAAAATAACTGGATGTCTAGTGTTGCTGCATTACCTTGTGTCACTCAACAGAAATATTTGTTAGTCATTTTGTTAGTCTACTTTAATGTTGAGGTGATTTCATGTCCCTCATGTATTTAATTCTAGGTTATAGACTATATTAAAATTCATATCTGAGAGCTCTCCAAACTATGTGCTTCTGATCATATATTTACACTAATTCAACTAACTGTTATAGTTTTTGGTTCTTCATCAAATAGTTGGCAGCCATCAAATAAGTATTTTTTTTGTTTTTCAAATAACTTGCATATATTCAAATACCTTCAAATATGATTTGGTTATTTGCGAGGTATTGTTTTTCTGAGACCTGGATTTGAATATCAAAGAAAATATATTTGCCTTGTAGTTGAAACTCTACATAAACTATATTCAACTAGCTCAAACTCTACATAAACTATATTCAACTAGCTCAAACTCTACATAAACTATATTCAACTAGCTCAAACTCTACATAAACTACATTCAACTAGCTCAAACTCTACATAAACTACATTCAACTAGCTCAAACTCTACATAGACTACATTCAACTAGCTCAAACTCTACATAAACTATATTCAACTAGCTCAAACTCTACATAAACTACATTCAACTAGCTCAAACTCTACATAAACTATATTCAACTAGCTCAAACTCTAAATAAACTATATTCAACTAGCTCAAACTCTACATAAACTACATTCAACTAGCTCAAACTCTACATAAACTATATTCAACTAGCTCAAACTCTACATAAACTATATTCAACTAGCTCAAACTCTACATAAACTACATTCAACTAGCTCAAACTCTACATAAACTATATTCAACTAGCTCAAACTCTACATAAACTATATTCAACTAGCTCAAACTCTACATAAACTACATTCAACTAGCTCAAACTCTACATAAACTATATTCAACTAGCTCAAACTCTACATAAACTATATTCAACTAGCTCAAACTCTACATAAACTACATTCAACTAGCTCAAACTCTACATAAACTATATTCAACTAGCTCAAACTCTACATAAACTATATTCAACTACCTCAAGTATTTGAAAAGTTGGTATTTTCAAATAAACTATAAAATACAAGTATTTTCTGCCCAGTTCTGATTCAGTCGCAAATCAAACAAACAGTCCTGCCCTGAACCTTGACTATAAAAGTCAGATTTATTTCCCTATTCCCACATTTACCCAACTCAATAAAGTGGAATTGAATTGAACTAAATTGAACTAGATTGCATTGAATTGTGTTGAGTTGACTCACATTCCCCATGGTGGGTCTGTGGCGTGGTCGTGTAGCGGTGCAGTCCAGGGCCAGGCGGAACAAGGGAAAGGACACAGAGTGGGGGCAGAGACCAGCCCTTGGGTCCAGATACTGAAGACAGGAGTCCACACTGCCACTGTCCTCCACCTCTCCATGTAGGATGTCTCTCTGGAGGGAGGGAGGGAGGGAGGGAGGGAGGGAGGGGAGGGAGGGAGGGAGGGAGGGAGGGATGGAGGGAGGGAGGGATGGAGGGAGGGAGGGAGGGAGGGATGGAGGGAGGGAGGGATGGGAGGGAGGGAGGGAGGGGGGGAGGGAGGGAGGGAGGGAGGGAGGGGAGGGAGGGAGGGGAGGGAGGGAGGGAGGGGAGGGAGGGGAGGGAGGGAGGGAGGGAGTGAGGGGAGGGAGGGAGGGAGGGAGGATGAACCAGAGGGCATGTATCCAGTAATCCAGCATTATGTCATGTGTTTGCTAGCATTTTAATACAACATGTGCAAAATGTCATTGTAGTGTTACCAGCAGGGTGTGTTTAGGAGTGTCCTCTCTGACGTTCCGTCCCGTTAATGTTTCCATTATAACCTAAGAACAAACGGCTTCTTATTAACAGGTTCTGGTCATAGACATCCAAGCAATTCACAAACAGCTATGTTCTGGCATTCAGATCAGTTTATCAGGTCCAGTATTTGTCCCAAGTACCTGACAAAGACCATGTCGTTTGAAAGATGATTGTTTGTCAAAAGATGTTTCAGAGCATTTTTGCCAAGTACTCCCTAACTCACCATTCCCAAGCTGAACACATCCAGACTGACGGACAGCTTTCCGTCTCGGATGTATTCCTCTGGCAGGTATCCCAGGGTTCCACAGGTCGTATCCAAGGTAACGGTGCAGCTCTGACTGACAGAGTGGGGTCTGAGACGGGCCGTCCCAAAATCAGACAGCTTGGGCTGCAGCCGCTCGTCCAGAAGTATGTTAGAACTACACAGAAAGAAGACACTTTGAAACAGGTGGGTCTTTGGAACTCAGGGGTGACTGGGATCTTTGGAACTCAGGGGTGACTGGGGTCTTTGGAACTCAGGAGTGACTGGGGTCTTTGGAACTCAGGGGTGACTGGGATCTTTGGAACTCAGGGGTGACTGGGATCTTTGGAACTCAGGGGTGACTGGGATCTTTGGAACTAAGGGGTGACTGGGATCTTTGGAACTCAGGGGTGACTGGGATCTTTGGAAGTCAGGTGTGACTGGGATCTTTGGAAGTCAGGTGTGACTGGGGTCTTTGGAACTCAGGGGTGACTGGGATCTTTGGAACTCAGGTGTAACTGGAATCTTTGGAACTCAGGTGTAACTGGAATCTTTGGAACTCAGGGGTGACTGGGATCTTTGAAACTCAGGGGTGACTGGGATCTTTGGAACTCAGGGGTGACTGGGATCTTTGGAACTCAGGGGTGACTGGGATCTTTCGAACTCAGGGGTGACTGGGATCTTTGGAACTCAGGTGTAACTGGAATCTTTGGAACTCAGGTGTAACTGGAATCTTTGGAACTCAGGGGTGACTGGGATCTTTGGAACTCAGCTGTGACTGGGATCTTTGAAACTCGGGGGTGACTGGGATCTTTGGAAGTCAGGTGTGACTGGGGTCTTTGGAACTCAGGGGTGACTGGGATCTTTGGAACTCAGGTGTAACTGGAATCTTTGGAACTCAGGTGTAACTGGAATCTTTGGAACTCAGGGGTGACTGGGATCTTTGAAACTCAGGGGTGACTGGGGCTTTGGAACTCAGGGGTGACTGGGATCTTTGGAACTCAGGGGTGACTGGGATCTTTGGAACTCAGGTGTGACTGGGATCTTTGGAACTCAGGGGTGACTGGGATCTTTGGAACTCAGGTGTGACTGGGATCTTTGGGACTCTGGTGTGACTGGGATCTTTGGAAATGTGCTATGCTAGGCTATGCTATGCTAGGTTATACTGTGATATGCTGTGTTATGCTATGCTAAACGAAATGCTTAAAAAAGGCTGTCTCTTTCCTGGTCCCATCATTCACCAAGACCCTAAAAGGGGGTGAGGTGAGTGATTAGCCTAGGGGTTTGAGCTGGTACCTTGTGATGTTACCACAGACCACAGTACAGGGCTGGGCCGTATGTAGGTGATGTACTGCCTTAGCCGTCCCCTTGATGATGTCCAGACGCTCCTGCCATGAGAGAGTGGGCACTAGGTTCTACAGAGAGATGCAGGAGGGAGACATGTTAGCATTTAAACGCCAATACACCTACTACCACACAGTCTGTCCACCACAGAGACAGATAAACTGATCTTTTTGGCATTGAAATAGAATAGTATAGTAGTTTAGTAGAATAAAATGGAAGTTTATGGTCCATCAGAGGATGGAAATCTGCCTTTACAGTAACACAACATACAACTAGAATAGGTAACACCACCTACAACTAGAATAGGTAACACAACCTACAACTAGAATAGGTAACACAACCTACAACTAGAATAGGTAACACAACATACAACTAGAATAGGTAACACAAAATACAACTAGAATAGGTAACACAACATACAACTAGAATAGGTAACACAACCTACAACTAGAATAGGTAACACAACATACAACTAGAATAGGTAACAAAACATACAACTAGAATAGGTAACACGACCTACAACTAGAATAGGTAACACAACCTACAACTAGAATAGGTAACACAACCTACAACTAGAATAGGTAACACAACATACAACTAGAATAGGTAACACAACCTACAACTAGAATAGGTAACACAACATACAACTAGAATAGGTAACACAACATACAACTAGAATAGGTAACAAAACATACAACTAGAATAGGTAACAAAACATACAACTAGAATAGGTAACACAACATACAACTAGAATAGGTAACACAACATACAACTAGAATAGGTAACACAACCTACAACTAGAATAGGTAACACAACATACAACTAGAATAGGTAACAAAACATACAACTAGAATAGGTAACAAAACATACAACTAGAATAGGTAACACAACCTACAACTAGAATAGGTAACACAACCTACAACTAGAATAGGTAACACAACATACAACTAGAATAGGTAACACAACATACAACTAGAATAGGTAACACAACCTACAACTAGAATAGGTAACACAACCTACAACTAGAATAGGTAACACCACCTACAACTAGAATAGGTAACACAACCTACAACTAGAATAGGTAACACAACATACAACTAGAATAGGTAACACAACATACAACTAGAATTAGGTAACACAACATACAACTAGAATAGGTAACACAACATACAACTAGAATAGGTAACAAAACATACAACTAGAATAGGTAACACAACATACAACTAGAATAGGTAACAAAACATACAACTAGAATAGGTAACAAAACATACAACTAGAATAGGTAACACAACCTACAACTAGAATAGGTACATTTTCTGTAGAAAATGTGTGTGCTTGTGCGTAGTGGTGTCTGAACTGAAGTAGTATATCTCACCTGGTCATGCAGTCTGTGGAACAGTGATCCGTGGGAAGTAGGGGTAACAAAAATATCCACTGGTCATGCAGCTGTGGAACAGTGATCCGTGGGAAGGTAAGGTACAGAATAGAATATCTCACCTGGTCATGCAGTCTGTGGAACAGTGATCCGTGGGAAGGAAAGGGTAACAGAATATGAATATCACCTGTCAGCAGTATGTGTAAACAGTATCCGTGGGAAGGTAGAGAGGTACACGAATAGAAACTCACCTGGATGCAGTCGTGGAACAGTCGATCCGTGAAAGGTGTCCTGGTCATGCAGTCTGTGGAACAGTGATCCGTTGGGAAGGTAAGGGGGTACAGAATAGAATATCTTCACCTGGTCAATGCAGTCTGTGGAACAGTGATCCGTTGGGAAGGTAAGGGGTAAAGAATAGAATATCTCACCTGGTCATGCAGTCTGTGGGAACAGTGATCCGTTGGGAAGGTAAGGGGTACAGAATAGAATATCTCACCTGGTCATGCAGTCTGTGGAACAGTGATCCGTTGGGAAGGTAAGGGGTACAGAATAGAATATCTCACCTGGTCATGCAGTCTGTGGAACAGTGATCCGTTGGGAAGGTAGGGGTACAGAATAGAATATCTCCACCTGGTCATGCAGTCTGTGGAACAGTGATCCGTTGGGAAGGTAAGGGGTACAGAATAGAATATCTCACCTGGTCATGCAGTCTGTGGAACAGTGATCCGTTGGGAAGGTAAGGGGTACAGAATAGAATATCTCACCTGGTCATGCAGTCTGTGGAACAGTGATCCGTTGGGAAGGTAGGGGGTACAGAATAGAATATCTCACCTGGTCATGCAGTCTGTGGAACAGTGATCCGTTGGGAAGGTAAGGGGTACAGAATAGAATATCTCACCTGGTCATGCAGTCTGTGGAATAGTGATCCGTTGGGAAGGTAAGGGGTACAGAATAGAATATCTCACCTGGTCATGCAGTCTGTGGAACAGTGATCCGTTGGGAAGGTAAGGGGTACAGAATAGAATATCTCACCTGGTCATGCAGTCTGTGGAATAGTGATCCGTTGGGAAGGTAAGGGTACAGAATAGAATATCTCACCTGGTCATGCAGTCTGTGGAACAGTGATCCGTTGGGAAGGTAAGGGTACAGAATAGAATATCTCACCTGGTCATGCAGTCTGTGGAACAGTGATCCGTTGGGAAGGTAAGGGGTACAGAATAGAATATCTCACCTGGTCATGCAGTCTGTGGAACAGTGATCCGTTGGGAAGGTAAGGGGTACAGAATAGAATATCTCACCTGGTCATGCAGTCTGTGGAACAGTGATCCGTTGGGAAGGTAAGGGGTACAGAATAGAATATCTCACCTGGTCATGCAGTCTGTGGAACAGTGATCCGTTGGGAAGGTAAGGGGTACAGAATAGAATATCTCACCTGGTCATGCAGTCTGTGGAACAGTGATCCGTTGGGAAGGTAAGGAGTACAGAATAGAATATCTCACCTGGTCATGCAGTCTGTGGAACAGTGATCCGTTGGGAAGGTAAGGGGTACAGAATAGAATATCTCACCTGGTCATGCAGTCTGTGGAACAGTGATCCGTTGGGAAGGTAAGGGTACAGAATAGAATATCTCACCTGGTCATGCAGTCTGTGGAACAGTGATCCGTTGGGAAGGTAAGGGTATACCAGCCAGTAACGATCCCCATCAGAGTAACAACCCAACAGCTCCAATATGTTAGGATGCTGATAGCTGAAACATAAACAGGCAGATTTGATGATTAGTAACAGACAGATATTTGCCTTTATTTAACCAGGTTAGTCATTGAGGGCAGATTTTATTGTTTACCATTACGAGAAGATGTGTGCATGGAAGAAGAGTGATATGTCCTAATGGATTTCAGTGGTAAATATATACGCAGAAACCATCTAAAATGGAGGCTGAGTGGAGTAGTTAAACGTACAGATGATGAACTTCCATCTCTCTCCTGAATAGATCCCACAACTTCCTCCACGAGGCTTTCTGCACCTGTACAGACCAACGAAGACCAACAAACATTTGAACTGTGTTGTGTGTCCTCAGTCCTTCTGAAGCACATAACCAAATAAATGTCTCTCTAGTTCGATAATGACCTCTAGTATATTTCATCTCCATCAAGCCAGGGACATTTTCAACAGATTTCATTTATAAATAGAGTATAAAATGGAGGAGGGAAGTTAGTACCTGCTTAAAGAGCTTGACAGCCAAGGTTTCATTTCCCTTTACCGCTCTGTAGACAGCAGAGAAGCTGCCCTCGGAGATCTTCATGTCCTGGTGAAAATGTCTAGTTCCCTCTATGACGTCCGAGTAGGTGATCACAAGCCTGTGGTTTCTACCTAGGAACAAGGTCAAACCACTAAGCCTGTGGTTTCTACCTAGCAACAAGGTCAAAACACTAAGCCTGTGGTTTCTACCTAGCAACAAGGTAAAAACACTAAGCCTGTGGTTTCTACCTAGCAACAAGGTCAAAACACTTAGAACATAAGCAGAGTACCCAGGAAAAACCTCAGCATTCTCACTAGTACATTTACACATGTTCAATGAGCCGTATGGGCGCGTCCCAAACGACACCATACACCCTACATAGTGCACTACTTTTGACCATGGGCACTATTTAGGGAATAGGGTACCATTTGGGACGCATCCTATGAAATCTGTCGTCAATGAAACCACTTAATAAAAAGTGAAGTGAAATAGGGAATTAGATACCTCCCAGAAGCTTGCTCTCACTGAAACCATACAGTAGGATGTTCCAGATAATGCCCTCAGTATTATTTATGAGTCTAGTAGGATGTTCCAGATAATACCCTCAGTATTATTTATGAGTCTAGTAGGATGTTTCAGATAATGCCCTCAGTACTATTTATGAGTCTAGTAGGATGTTCCAGATAATGCCCTCAGTATTATTTATGAGTCTAGTAGGATGTTTCAGATAATGCCCTCAGTATTATTTATGAGTCTAGTAGGATGTTTCAGATAATGCCCTCAGTATTATTTATGAGTCTAGTAGGATGTTCCAGATAATACCCTCAGTATTATTTATGAGTCTGTCGTATCAAGGGACCATCTCAACACATGCTGAGGTGGGATGTATTGACGACCCCTTAGGGACCATCTCAACACATGCTGAGGTGGGATGTTTTGACGACCCCAAGGGACCATCTCAACACATGCTGAGGTGGGATGTTTTGACGACCCCAAGGGACCATCTCAACACATGATGAGGTGGGATGTTTTGACGACCCCAAGGGACCATCTCAACACATGCTGAGGTGGGATGTTTTGATGACCCCTTAGGGACCATCTCAACACATGCTGAGGTGGGATGTTTTGACGACCCCAAGGGACCATCTCAACACATGCTGAGGTGGGATGTTTTGACGACCCCAAGGGACCATCTCAACACATGCTGAGGTGGGATGTTTTGACGACCCCAAGGGACCATCTCAACACATGCTGAGGTGGGATGTTTTGACGACCCCAAGGGACCATCTCAACACATGCTGAGGTGGGATGTTTTGATGACCCCAAGGGACCATCTCAACACATGCTGAGGTGGGATGTTTTGACGACCCCAAGGGACCATCTCAACACATGCTGAGGTGGGATGTTTTGATGACCCCAAGGGACCATCTCAACACATGCTGAGGTGGGATGTTTTGACGACCCCAAGGGACCATCTCAACACATGCTGAGGTGGGATGTTTTGATGACCCAATATAAGAACAAGTGATAGTAGTACTGACACAGCATGATGAACACAACTCATACTGAAACAGAGAAATGGCTCAGCAATCTAATGTCTCATTATGAATATTAAAAGGTGGACAGAAAATCACTGGACAAAAAAAATACAAATACAAATACAAATAATAACAATAATAATAATAATGATAATAATTTGTCACATATACCAGATAGGTGCAGTGTAATGTGTTGTTTTACAGGGTCAGTCATAGTAGTACAGCACCCCTAGAGCAAATTAGGGTTAAGTGCCTTGCTCAAGGGCACACCGTCAGTTTTTCACCTTGTCGGCTCAGCAACCTTTCAGTTAAGTACCTTCACTCGACACATGATTATCAGACTGGTTCCAACCAGGTTGGGTTGACTCACTGTCAGGTGGGGGTGACTGAGAAAACAGGACATGATGACAAAAATACAGTTATTACAGTGTAATACAGGATCAATTACAGGATCACACATGCACTAGCCTATATAGACAATATGGTGTCACTGGAGACACATGCACTAGCCTATATAGACAATATGGTGTCACTGGAGACACATGCACTAGCCTATATAGACAATATGGTGCCACTGGAGACACATGCACTAGCCTATATAGACAATATGGTGTCACTGGAGACACATGCACTAGCCTATATAGACAATATGGTGTCACTGGAGACACATGCACTAGCCTATATAGACAATATGGTGCCACTGGAGACACATGCACTAGCCTATATAGACAATATGGTGTCACTGGAGACACATGCACTAGCCTATATAGACAATATGGTGTCACTGGAGACACATGCACTAGCCTATATAGACAATATGGTGTCACTGGAGACACATGCACTAGCCTATATAGACAATATGGTGCCACTGGAGACACATGCACTAGCCTATATAGACAATATGGTGTCACTGGAGACACATGCACTAGCCTATATAGACAATATGGTGCCACTGGAGACAACCTCTCATACATTCATTAAGGCGAAAGTTACTAGTGTCTATAAAAGGGAGATTATTAATTGCAAGTTCAACACAAACTACATTGATCATAACATGATAGGTTGATCATGACATGACTAGTAGCCTAGCACGGGTGACTCAGGAGGAGAGGGGTTTGATTTAAGCAATAAGGCCCGAGGGGGTGTGGTATATGGCCATTATACCACGGCTAAGGGCTGTTCTTAAACACGACGCAACGCAGAGTGCCTGGATACAGCCCTTAGCCGTGGTAAATTGGCCATATACCACAAACCCCAGAGGTGCCTTATTGCTATTATAAACTGGTTACTAATGTAATTAGAACAGTAGAAATAAATGTTTCGTCATACCCATGGTATACGGTCTGATATACCATGGCTTGCAGCCAATCAGCATTCAGGGCTCGAACCACCCAGTTTATAATAATAGATATATCATGACCAGTTACAGTAGCTTACCACGGCTGACTCAGGAGGGGAGGGGTTATCCCTGCTGCTCTCTGATGGTCCACTGTTGGGGAAGGAATACTTTGTTTCTGAAAGGACAACATTTCCCTGTTTTATTCATCTTTAATAACACGGGCCTACATGTTCAACCGTTAGTGGAGCAGGCACTGAATTTGTTCAGTCTCACATTTGCTCAATGTGTTGTTGACACAGCTGAGCGCTTGCACACCGACAGAGGAAGTTTATGCAACAATGACATTACAGAACTGAAACCAACGGTTTAGGCCAGTGAAAAACAGGCTACAGTTAAACAGGCTACAGCCATTTGAAACTGACACAAACCGCACCATCATATAGGTCTAATAACACACAACTATTGAATAGTCCCTTACCTTGAGGCATAAAGAGCTGTAGCGCTCTGTAGTGGCCCATATCCTCCAATACCTTCAGAAGGTCCCCAACAGTTTTGTTCTGTTGCGCCCACGACCAGATGAGTTCGCGCGTGGGGCTCTTGCCCATTGCCTCCAGCCTCTCGGTGCGTCGCACCTCCGTCCAACTTGGCACAATACGCGCAGCTGAAGGGGGGATAGGTAAAGTAGAGAAATGGAAGCAAGTTCTTATTGGGCGTGGGCGGATTGGCCGCCTGGCAATTCTGGCAAATAATGCCAGAAGGACCATCTTTAATTGGGGTGGGCTGGTCGGAATTGACCCAAAAATATATGTAAACAATGTATTTTTAAAATGGCACGGCCGGCAGCCCATGGGCCTGTTTTTTTTATGACTTTTGCGCAATTCCTCTGTTGTCATAATAATCTATATTGAGCATTTCGCTGACCTGCTGCCTATTGAAATCACTGGCCACTTTAAGAAATGGAACACTAGTCACTTTAATAATGTTTACATATCTTGCACTACTCAGCTCATATGTATATACTGTATTCTATTCTATAATATTCTACTGTATCTTAGTCCATGCCGCTCTGTCATTGCTTGTCCATATATGTATATATTCTTAAATCCCATTCCTTACTAGTTTTGTGTGTATTGGGTATATGTTGTGAAATTGTTAGATATTACTGCACTGTCGGAGCTAGAAGCACAAGCATTTCGCTACACCCGCAATAACATCTGCTAAACAGGTGTATGTGACAAATATAATTTGATTTGATTTGATTTAAGTGGCAAATGCCCCCGAAAAGGGGTTGGGGAGCGGTGACGTGACGTCAAGTGAGCTGGTGTAGCTAAAATGCCAGCGCTGAATTTTTCTCCCAGTTATAGTGTTATTGTGACATGATACCATATGTGCTACAGTGCTATACACTAACAGCGTTACATAATGTGGACAAAACGAAAGTGAATGTGAATTTATCACAGAAGAGATCGTTCCAGGTAATCTACACAACCTATACCTCAGTGAACACAACACTTCCGCTTTGGTAAACCAATAGAGATAAAGTTTAAAGCGCGCACAGAAAGTAACACTTTTTAGTTCACATTACTCACCAAGCCCGCGCCATCCGAGGCTGTCATCACCGCTGTCGATTACCTTGCAAAACGTCTCAATCAACACCGGGGGGACATCATACAGGTACATAGACGGGTCCATTTTATCTGTGACTGAGCTAGAACGTTGTTATGGTAAAGTATATAACCTGTGTGACGTCAGCCACAATAAGGATTAGCCACAATAGTGGAACGTTTGTGGTTTGCCTTCAAAATAAAGGTCCCTCATTGAACGTGACGCAAATGGTTACACATAGTGGAATCATGCCATATTTGGACTAGATCATGCGAAACAAGATTTTAATGTTGTTATATAAATACAACAAAAGAAATAGCACTGTGGATGTATTAGACTTCAGAATGGCATTGGGGGCATACTTATATTTTTCACTGTCCAGCCTTAGATATGGATTGTGAATCAATGAAACGGGGTATCAGTCTACTCCGGGACACCCAAAAGAACACAACTGTGAAGCGATTTACACAGTGGTCTAGTGGTGGTGCCTGGAGAAGTGGGTATACTCACACACACAAAAATCAGAACGGCCCGCCAGGCGAAGGAAAGACGCCCATATTGGTCTTTCACAGTCAGGCCAACCCAAGCTGTGCTGTGCAGTAGGCTAATATTGTAGACCTATTATTACAACACATAAACTGAGTCAACATTTTTTTCAAGGTTTTTGTCCTCAAAGTCACACTTTTTGAAAACAAAAAACAACACAATTGTATGTTCTAAATGCATAAGTTACATACAGTGTATACCGATGAAAGAGACTAGCCTGCTGGCCTTACTGTGTGGATAGGAATATTGATCCCAGCTGTTTAGGAGGTATATCACACCTGGTATAAATGTCTAGTTGTGTTTTTCCTGGCTTGCTGTGGTGATAATCCTTCTCAGCAAAACATTTTTCTGGCTGACAGTGGCATTACCAAACCAACAAACAATACAAAAAGTTAAAATAGATCAGGTCTGTACATTTACTCCACTGAAGCTTATCGTCCAAGAGGACACCCAGATATTTGTATTCCTCAACAATCTCTATGTTCTGACTAATAGATGTTGCAGAGAGTGGGTGTTGTTCGTTCCTGGTACTCCTGAGTGGCCCAGTGGTCTAAGGCACTGCATCGCAGTGCTTACTGTGCCACTAGAGATCCTGGTTCGAATCCAGGCTCTGTCGCAGCCGGCCGCGACCGGGAGACTCATGGGCGGCGCACAATTGGCCCAGCGTCGTCCAGGGTAGGGAAGGGAATGGCCGGCAGGGATGTAGCTCAGTTGATAGAGCATGGTGTTTGCAATGCCAGGGTTGTGGGTTTGATTCCCACGGGGGGCCAGTATAAAAAAAAAAGAAAAATGTATTCACTAACTGTAAGTCGCTCTGGATAAGAGCGTCCGCTAAATGACTAAAAATGTAAAATGAAGTCTATGCACATCTCTTTGATCTTGTTGGTATTGAGGACCAAGTGTGATTCATCACACCACTCTACACAGTCGTTTAGGACGGGGCCACGGTGTTCCTCGTCACGCAACAGGCTGATCAGGGCAGTGTCATCTGGGAACTTGACGAGGTGTCTGTCAGGATGGGAACTTGACGAGGTGTCTGTCAGGATGGGAACTAGACGAGGTGTCTGTCAGGATGGGAACTTGACGAGGTGTCTGTCAGGATGGGAACTTGACGAGGTGTCTGTCAGGATGGGAACTTGACGAGGTGTCTGTCAGGATGGGAACTTGACGAGGTGTCTGTCAGGATGGGAACTTGGTGTCTGTCAGGATGGGAACTTGACGAGGTGTCTGTCAGGATGGGAACTTGACGAGGTGTCTGTCAGGATGGGAACTTGGTGTCTGTCAGGATGGGAACTTGACGAGGTGTCTGTCAGGATGGGAACTTGACGAGGTGTCTGTCAGGATGGGAACTTGACGAGGTGTCTGTCAGGATGGGAACTTGGTGTCTGTCAGGATGGGAACTTGACGAGGTGTCTGTCAGGATGGGAACTTGACGAGGTGTCTGTCAGGATGGGAACTTGGTGTCTGTCAGGATGGGAACTTGACGAGGTGTCTGTCAGGATGGGAACTTGACGAGATGTCTGTCAGGATGGGAACTTGACGAGGTGTCTGTCAGGATGGGAACTTGACGAGGTGTCTGTCAGGATGGGAACTAGGTGTCTGTCAGGATGGGAACTTGTACAACTGTTGGTGTACAAGATGTACAGGAGAGGGGACAAAACACCTCCCTGTGGGGAGCCTGTTGTCTGACACGTGGGGACCCCCCTTTGACCCCGCTGTGACCTCTGGCTCAGGAAGTCCAGCAGCCACAAAACCAGCCCCCCCCCCCCCATCTAAGGAGGAGTCCCTTATGAGTCTCCGTGGCAGAATGTAAGGCTGGATTGTGTTGAAGGTAGAAGAAAAGACAACAAAAAGAACCCTGAAATGGGATTTGGCGCCCTCTATAGACCATGTTGAGGAGAGGAAGAATGGCATCAACTCCTCTGCTGGGCTGATAGGCAAACTGAAAGGGGTCGAGGAACTGCTGGGTGGCGCTGAGATTATGACTTCTCACAATTTTCTCAAAGCATTTCATTACCAAGGATGTCACAGAGGGATTAGATGCTTTATGAATGGGTGTAATTGTTTAGTTTTTCCACAACACTGGCAGGTGTTGCTGGTCGAAGGAGGATTGGAAAATGTTTGTAAAAACACCAGCTATCAATACGTACAATGGGGCTGACTGGGGAGGTGATTTCCCACAGTCAAAGGCCCGCATTAAGAGCTAAGAAATTAATATTAGTATAAACTCACAGTTGTGTTCTGTGGTTGTCACTGAGTAGACTGATATCCCGTTTCATTGATTCACCATCCACAGGTAAGGCTGCGCAGTGAAATAGGAGGATGCCCCCGATGCCGTTCTGAAGTCTAATACATCCACAGTGCGATTTTTTTTTGGGGTCAAATTCACTAATTATTGTCTGTTGTTGAATTTATATAACAACATTCCACTTTTTATTTTTTTATTTTTTATTATCTAGTCTAAATATGGCATGATTCCACTCTTTGTATCCATTTGCATCACTTTCAATTATGAACTTTTATTTTGAAGGGAAACCGCAAATTCCACTGTTGCATCTAATCCTTATTGTAGCTAGCTAAGACCAGAGGTATTGACTTCACCGAGACTACTAGACCGAGGCGCATGTTGCAGAATTCTGGAAATACCCTAGTCAGAACTAGTACACTCGGAAATGTCTGACTTGCTGATTCGTTGAAGGTGGCATGTGTATAACTACAACCAGTTAGCAAGCCTGACATTTTCGAGTTCCTAATTCTGACTAGAACTTGAAAGGAGGCATTAGAAAGCAGTGAGGTGATGGTGAGGTGACATCCTACCAGTGGAGGCTGGTGGGAGGAGCTATAGGAGGATGGGCTCTGTGTAATGGGTTGGAATGGTATCTATGGAACGGAATCAGACATGTGGTTTCCATATGTTTGATGTGTATGATACCGTTAACATTAATTCCATTCCATCCATTACAATGAGTCCGTCCTCCTATAGCTCCTCCCACCAGCCTCCACTGCAGTTTACTGTAGTGGAATTATGACAAAATCTGAAATACAGTTGGTTACATAACTATTGTATTAGGTGGCTATTTTGTGTAACATTTAAGGTTTCCCACTTTACTTGATACAGGTTTTCATAGGTTATCTCGTGAGAAGGAGGCCTACAATCAGCTGCAGCAACCACCAACCATTATTCAGCCAGGGCATAAAAGTGACACATTTGTCTAAAGGGCAATGGCCGTTTCTTCTCACTCCAGGATTATGAACGGGGAGTCATAGTGACAGGGCCACTACTAGTAAAAATGTCACCGGTAACACTCAAGTATGTCCACTGGATGGCGACATCACACCAGGAAAACAAATGGGAACCTTGAACACAGACCAAGGCAATCGATCAAACCCCGTTACCAGGGTTACAGGATTACACCACAGTGATGTTTAGACAGTGCAGTAGCATTGATAACTGTTTACGACAAGACTAACCTAATTCCACACCACATGGTGGATCCAGAGTACTATAGTTTATGGCAGTCAGTCAACCACTGAATGTGTGCGCGAGCCATGCAAAGCTTCTAGATAAATGATCATCAACTCAATCTGTCTGGACATTTCTCTATTATTCATATTGAATATATTGAATATTACACATCCTCCTCCCTCCTCTTCCTCATCTTACTCCTCCCCCTCCTATGTTAGAGAGAGAGAGAGAGAGAGAGAGAGCGAGAGAGAGAGAGAGAGAGAGAGAGAGACAGAGACAGAGAGAGAGAAAGCGATAAAGAGTGAATGTGTGTGTGTGTGTGTGTGTGTGTGTGTGTGTGTGTGTGTGTGTATGAGTGTTTTGATACACTTTTGCATAATATGATTTTTGAGCCAGTTGTAAATGCTGTGTTCGGTAGCGTGTCTGTTGATCGACATGCCAGTGTAATGAATAGAATACACATGACTGAATCATCGTCCAGCAACACCGATGCTGCCTGCCTGGAAGTCATTTCACCTGTGAATACCTATTTGAAATTGCTGAACATACAAGTTGTATCTGAACCCACATATCTGTCAAATGGCAGCCGAACAAGACTAAACTATACTGAACAAAAATATAAACACAACATGCAACAATTTCAAAGATTTTGCTGAGTTACAGTTCATGTAAGAAAATCCGTGAATTTAAATAAATAAATGAGGCCCTAATCTATGGATTTCACATGACTGGGAATATAGATATGCATCTGTTGGTCACAGATATCATAAATAAATGATAGGGCCGTAGATCAGAAAACCAGTCAGTATCTGGTGTGACCACCATTTACGTAATGCAGCGCGACACATCTCCTTCGCATAGAGTTGATTAGACTGTTGAATGTACCCTGTGGAATGTTGTCCCACTCCTCTTCAATAGCTGTGCGAAGTTGCTGAATATTGGCAGGAACTGGAACACAATGTCGTACAAGTCGATCCAGAGCATCCCAAACATGCTCAATGGGTGATATGTCTGGTGTGTATGCAGGCCATGGAAGAACTGGGACATTTTCAGCTTCCAGGAATTGGGTACAGATCCTTGCAACATGGGGCCGTGCATTATCATGCTGAAACATGAGGTGATGGTGGCGGATGAATG